TTCATCTGCTTTTCATTTATTGGCTTATTCTCGTTGCCATTTCTTCGCGTCGCATTCGGTCGATCGCAAGTGGCCAACCCGTCCCGAATACTCGGCCATGACCCGCCATCAAGTTGTAATGGTGAAAGGGCATTACGTAGGTAAAAGAGGTACCTACGTAGCCGAAGCCGCCCACGATGGTACAGTACTCCGTACATGCAGACAAATTGGCCAAACCATAACATCGTGTTGAGGAGGGGTTCGTTTTTTATTTTTTATTTTTATTTTTATCATCATGGTATACCTTCACTACGCGGCTTGGCCCGCTGGATGCTCGGAAAAGTTCCTGGGTCGACCTTGCCGTAGTCGCGGGGTCCGTTGAGGTTCTTCATCTTTTTTTTCTGCTTCCTCGTGGTCTTCAGCCACTCAGCATCGACTCATTACTAGTGCCCGTGACAGTGACCGGTGATGACCCCGCCATCCCACATTACCAAGGTAGTCAGTCAGCCCGTCTCTCGCATTCTTTTATTTCTATTTTTTCGGCTCTAATCACCGAGGCTCTATATCACTGTCGCTAGAATCGACCCCTTGTCCGCCGTTCACCAGCTCCCGTCAGTCCGGCCGTTGGTACCACCCTTGCTACATTTAGTACCCGACTGACTACCTACATGCAGTTGGCCAGCATCATCGACTACTAACCAGACAGACAGGCTCATCCCATCCCAAAGGCGGTCCAGAACCAGCCAGTGCCAGCATTGCATCGCATCCGGCCGGGCCTTTCCACTCTACTCTCATACGACACGAGCCTGTACTTCCGGGGATCCCCGCCCATCGTTGCTGTTTAGCCCGGGGCTGCTTTCTTATTAGCGTTCCCGGCAGGAACTTCTCTGTCTGTCATCTCTCTCACGCGCCATCGAGTCGCTTTTTGGTTTTGATCTTTGCTTCCCTCCCCGTTTACCTTCGTCCTCGCCGTCAACACCCTCCTCCTCATCCTCCTCCTCCTCGCCTCCCCTTCCACCACCCCGTCTCAGTCACACTTGCATTAGATCGTTGTTGCTGCATCCGCACCACCCACACCCACTTATTGACACATACCCACTTTGCTCTCTTACACACACACACACACACACTCTCTCTCTCTCTCTCTCTCTCTCTCTCTCTCTCACTCACTCACTGTCGTCACTTTCATCTGATTTCTTTCCTCTTCTCCGATACTCGCTCTCTTCAAAGACACACAACCCATAC